ATGGATTCCTGCGTCAATATGGATAGTTAATCTGCAACAAGTCTATGTTTGGATCGTTAAATTGCAACAAGGCTACATTTGGATGGTTAAATTGCAACAAGGCTATATTTGGGTCGTTAAATTACAACAAGGTTATATTTTGGGAAAAAATAATAACAAAGTTTGAGCAATAAATGATATCAATTCATGTGACGTCCCGTCTGGGCAGAATAAACTGTACATTACAACGTAACTGACCTCTAACTTAACCTTCCGCCTCATGAATATTTACCAAAATATGATAGAAGGGACAGAACGTGTATCCTTCTATATATATAAAAGGGACGGTTAAGTAAATGAGAGGAATTTGTGTTGCCTAGATGGTATACCCCCCCCCCCCCCACACACACACCACTCTCTCTCACAGTAGTTGAATCTATGGCGATTAATTTAATGTGCCGAGAATGAGTTTCTTCTTTTTCTTAAACTTGTTTATATCAATATATAATAATTGAAAGCAATAACTGACCCGAAAATATTTCACTTAGTTTAACTTTAATTGGTGTTAAATTTGTTAGGAGGCAAGTCAGTCGACGTGACTAATTAGCGCGAACCATTGGATAACTCCCTATTTACAAAAACGGATGGGGTTTCTAATAATCTAAACATCAAAAGAACCCAAACCATCATTTATGAAACGATGAATACCAACATTTCACCATTTTGTTCAAATCGAAGTCACGAATTTGATCAAAAAGATGTTTTAGTTTACCATTCATACATGACTAATCACAAATCCTAAAAAAATGTCCAATAGACTATTTGGTGTATATATATTTATGTCATTTCATTTCATTTCTATGAGTTATAATGGTTGATGAAAATAAATTAAGCGAGATGTGTTGATGAATGGCTGGTGTTAGACGAAGGAAAGAACATTTTTTAAAAAGGAAATCACCGACTTTATCTATGTTTTTGTAAACATGCGTAAGGGACTGTTAATACAATCCACTAGCTGAACCTTAAAAAAAGCACTCTATTTTACCTTTTAAATGGACTAGGGAGTTGTACATAATTCAAGATATATCCTATTGACTTCATTTAAAACACATTCAAGCGCATCGGTGGAAATTCTGAATGAATAATAATTATTGTTCACCCCTATTATCAATTCCTACTTCGTTCAATTTAATCCACTCAATGCAAGTGGTGATTTACCGTCCCTAAAAGTCTTCCCCACGGGGTCATAAAACCATCGCCTTTCATTCATGCCTTAATTAAACAAGTATTAATATTGTCGGGTTCTTTTTAAAGGGATTAAAATATTGGAATGTCCCTCAAAATACAGTCGGGTACATATTTATTCTGATATTAAAATTAAATAGTTATTAAAATTAATATATAAACATCAGCATTAAAATCAACTGGGTTAAGATCGCAAATAAAAATGAAATCAATTCAATGATAAAAAGAAAGGTTTAAGGTGTATGCTTTCGATCATAAAGTCTGTCATTGAGTCAAGTGGTGTGGGTTCGATTCCCAGCTTGTGCGTGACAAGGCGTACGGTCACTTACCCAACCGCGTGGGTTTTCTCCAGGTCCACTGGTTTCGTCCCAACGCTAAAGATCAGTCCATTTGCTGATTACACTATTTTGCTTGAATACACTACTTTGCTTGAATACACTATTTTGCCTATAACGTTTTTTAGGACTTCGAATTCTGTCTTATAGTTTGGATTGTTCGTACTTGGTTTTATTTTATTTCAAGAGAACCATTGAAATAGAATTAAACCATCTCTCTCTCTCTCTCTCTCTCTCTCTCTCTCTCTAAATTGTGTCATCCTGACAGAAATACAACTTGTCCAATTCAACAGACCACAAATTCTGCCTATAACAGGAACTGGTGCGTGTCAATCATAATATTCTTATCGTGTTTATTGTTTCAACATAGAATTCTTTGCCCAAGTAAAATGACTCACCGCGTATGTCTCTTAGTGTAGGAGGATGTTCGCGCAAATAACAATGATGGCATTAATATATACCCCCGCATTTAATGTAATAGAACTATCCCCTTTCCTTTGTATTAGAAATTCCTTCTATTTCGTCAGATTGCATCTGACCTTGAAATAACTAAACCCCTTTTGAAATGGGCCAAAAATAGAATTGTCGACTTCTTTAGATTTATATATTGGTTTATTTTGTGGGTTGACAACCTGACATCGTTGAACAGTTTACGCCTACAGATAGTCACCGTTTGGGGTGCAGCTGAGTGATGAGGCGCCAAAATAATGCCCAAGTTACCCATTGGAATGTCGGCGCCCTTAAAACCGATCGATTGATCAGTGCCTGGATCAGTGCCTTAAGAGCATCACTGTGTGATCATAATCAAGTGTATTATTTTATGATTGAAAAGTTATCAATTTATTTTTTATTTTTATTTTTTTTGTGGGGGGGGGGGCGCCATTTCTCGGTGCGCCATATTTTTCTGGGGGTGCAATGTACCCCCTGAACCCCCGCTAGATACGGCCCTGCTGTGGACACCATAAGTCAAACATGAAACTGAAATTAATAATAAAAAAGCCACATCACTAATCGGATTAACACAGAATATCATCCCCATTCTAGGGGGTTGGATGGCCGAATAGTTAGCGCGTGCTCGCTGTATCATAAGGTCTGTCAATGAATCAGGTGGTGTGGTTTCGATTCCCCGGTTGTGCTCTAAAAACAAATAGCCTATCTCTGATTTATATCGGTTTGTTTTTGTAGCCAATCAGATCATTAACATACATGTTGAATAGATATGGTTTAATTAGTTAACCTTGTAGAAAGCCTGTAAGTTGGGAGCCACGGTGGCTAAGTGGGTAAGACGCTGGCTCGCTAGCCTGGAGGTCACAGGTTCGATGCCTGCATTGGCCGAGATTGTTCATAGGGAATTTCCGGCTTAGTTTCCCCTTGTTAGGGGCGCAGAACGGAGGGCCTGACAAGGGCAGCTGTTTAGACATTCGGTCGGGACGAAAAACTGAGGACCCGTGTATATATTGACGTGCACGTAAAAGATCCCTTTGCAGTTGGAATTCGATATAAGAGTAGGCCATAGTGCCCATGCCTGTCTTCATTAGCCCAGTAGGAGCAGAACAGTAGGACGTCATACCCCATTTCATTACATTTCAAGCCTGTATACTAGACTTTCAAGTAAAGGCGTGTGTATTATCATCCGAAAATGTGTGCGTGCGTGCAGTATTATCCTTCATTGCGTGTGCAGTATTATTCTTTATTGCGTGTGCAGTATTATCCTGCAATGGCAACACTACGAGAATGGCTATAGTTTTGTTGTTAACCGCTCAATGTTGTATCAAACGTTATAATGTCTGGTGCTCAATATTTTCATTTTGTCGCGACGGAAACGTCGTGGTGCATTGGTATGTAGAAAAAGTGAAACAACAAGTAAGCTCGTGCTATTGACCAGGAACTGACCATGTTGTTGGATGAAATGCAAAAATCTAATTCACCACATCCATGCAGAATTGTTCAAAGCAGATGCGTGCCAATTTTCATGTCGATTGGACTTGAATTGATGGAGCCTTAGACGTTTTTCGAAGAGCAAGTAGAACAAGATGAGTAGTGGTTAGCGACCAGTTCCCGGTCCAAAGATGAGAAATGAAATGAGGATTGACCTTCTACGTTTCTTCTCCGCCTAGGCTAATGAAGGCGGGCATTTGGTATTCAGTCTGAGAGATTTGATGCTATGCATGGTATTGTGTTGAATTTTAACAGACCATAATTGGTAGATACGAATGCATGTTTCGCTACCATCGCTGATGGGTGTGATGTAACAGGCAATTATTCGAGTCGATTAATAAGCTAGAAGATATTACTTTAATGACATACATTGGCGAGAATGGTTTTAAATATATTATTAAAATTTAAAAAAAAATATTATTTTAGTTATGAAGATCGATCTGAAAATGGACTTCTGTTAGTTCTAATGACATAAATTGTGGAAACTGGTTTTAGATATATTTTTAAACATCGCTTGTCCGCATATTGAAAATCTGACATCGAAAGAGTTCATCTGTCCAGACACGTTTGAGACGACACTTATTATTGGACTTGAGCCAAACCTCACCACTGTCGCGTGGCTATATTTCTAGCAAGATTATACAAGTTCAATTCGAAACTTTAGTTACCTGAAATAATTATCCTGGGTATTTTACACACCCTTCATCAATATACGACTCCCCTAAAACTAAAAACTGTTTGATCCGACGGACATTCCTGGTTATGAAGGGTCTTCCCTCTCCTCGCCCGGATATTTCATACACAAACAGCTATGGAAGATTTACTTCGTGTTCTAAAATAAGTAAGCATTCACTGAGCGTGTATTGAAAATATCGAGAGGTAGTGGTGGGTTATGTTTAAAACCCTGCGATGTTACGACTACGACAATGATCACTTTTGATAACAAAACGGAGTAGTAGTTTTACAGGTACGAACGGTTATCAAGTGTTTTAAACGATATAGATATATGGAGAAAGTCTTAAACCCAGGAATGTAAATAAAACAAGATAATAAACTATATAAATCTGTCCAGGTGTGCCGTCAACTCGACCTCAGACATTTTAACATTGATCATATCTAGATATACCCCGAGATAGAAGGATTTTACATTACATGAGTATAGGGTGTAAACACGGTAGATAAGATACGATGATTTGAGTCGAGTCAGGTCGCCAGGTATTTTTATATCAAGTAAGGGCAGCCTATATATCACATATCGACGTTGAAGGGTTCCCACGCTCCTCTTTGCCCCGAGCCAAACGATGTTTTGTGTTATTAGTATCTATGCGCCGCATCACGACTCCTATCTACAGGTATATACAGGTAATACGAGGACAGCAAGGATAGGCTCAGGTACATAGTGGGCGTGGTTTTCCCACAGACTACAATCCATGAGACGCGTGGCTCTTATTTACATATAAATCGACGAGATAGTTGTGTTGACAAGCTCTGGCATGAAATGTCTAACGTAAAATTCGCTACACGCCTATCAGCTTATCGCTTGAGGCCTACACGCGAACTGGGGCGGGCGCTGGCTCTTTTGATTGACGCTCGAGTCGCATGCGTCATGCGACAATCTCGGCGCTCTTATGTAGAGGTATTTTAAGAACTAAATTCGCGTGACAGCGCACATACATACACACACACCCGTTCCAAAGCACACGATCAGGCTAATGGCCATTCCTCCAGACAGGAACATGCATTCCGATAAAGCTACTACCTCAACCAGCGAAGGGCGAAAGGTAAGTGATGATTAAATATAATAAAACTTTAATGAATATTCGTAATGCCAATTTTATTGTTTAAAAGATTTCTAGAGACATTTTGTTATTTTTATCTATAGAAGAATAATAATTTCAAAACTTGTTTTAGAAATTTATTCGAATTCTTGATAACTTTAATAAAACAATTGTTTTAAATTTTTAGAGCTCGAAGCCCATTATGGAAAAACGACGAAGGGCGAGGATAAACGCCAGTTTGTCAGAGTTGAAATCCCTGTTACTTGAAGTGATCAAGAAAGAGGTAAGCAGAGATTTTACCTGGATTATAATCGGTTTATTGATTCAATCTGGGGTAATAAGCAGTAATTAACCTTGATTATCCTTGACCCTGACTTAACTTTACCCGTGTAAAAGATTAATAACAGTATCGGGATATTGTCTGGAATGAGAAACGGGGATTTTATAAATGACCAATAACGAAGACGGTACAACAATCAGGATTATGACAACCTCGACACAGACAAAGAAATGATATAATCTGTAACGAAACGTTGTCTATTTAGCGATCACCACAACCTTATGTCCAATAAGAGAGAGAGAGAAATGGGGTTTAACGTCCACTCGACACAAACTAGGTCATTTCGGGACAAACATATGGTTTAATTTTATTTCAATAATTCGCTTGCGCGTAGGGGTCTTTAGCAGTGGAAGGAAACTATGTCCAATAAGGAAGTGATTCAGTGATATTCGATGAGTGGACTATGTAAAGGTCATTTAAACGGGTCTATGGTGTTTTACAGATCATGCTGTAGGAAGTAAGTTGAACAGGGAAAACGAAATATGTTAGTCATGTAGCCTTTGATAAACTTATCTTGTTCACTTTTCCCACGGTCTCATTTACCGCAGGAAATAAAAAAAGATAAAATATTAAAAAAAATGTGTCAAATCTCGACTAATTAATTACTTTTATCTGATGATCTGTCATATTTTAACAGGGATCAAGACATAGTAAAATGGAGAAGGCAGATATTTTAGAGATGACGGTTAAACACCTGCGGCAACTTCAAAGACAGCAATTTACAGGTAGATTTATTTCATTATTAGATTTCACGACATTTTTTCCTTTCCCGATTGGATTTAATGTACGCTTAACTGGTGTCACACGTCCTGTTCCCAAAAAAAGAAGGAACCCCCATTCTTTGAAGTAATGCTTATTTTGATTGGCTAGTAAATACGTAAGCGGAAAGTTTGCCTTACACGTGACTTGCTCAATACATCAATATCTACACGCGCAACAATCATTGAGTCGTAAACATATAATTCAAGTCTTCACTTGTCGAATATTTCTGTTGGTCGTAAAATAGTTTATTGCTTATAAAATAAAATGGGAACCTTTTACTTTTTATTTCTAAGTATTTATTGAAAGCCTTAAGAGATCTATTGTACCACACCCATTCCTTAATGGTTATTTACAATTAGATTTCTCTGTGCGTTTAAAATCCCCCGTTTATATTGTTTAATATATAAAAGTGAATTAGAATTTGTTTTTTAAATATCCTAACATTAAGTCTGAATGACTTTAAACTTTCTTTTCTTTATCACGTGTTCTTGGAAATTTATACATTGAATCTTTTTTTGAATATAGATATGTGAACAAACCTAATTGTACTAACAATTCTAGTTTAAATTAAATGTGGCCACATTCATCATTCCTTTCCTCTAAATAATTAAATATGCGAAATTTATTCAGTACACTTACTTTTGTAGCCAATGCTTCTGACGGATGTCATGCACGACGCAGTTTAAACGTACTTTGCCATACAAACCATACTGTTGTATTAAACGATATTTACATGAACGTTGTTTTCTGTTTCAGGGTCACCTAAAACTGATTCGAATGTTTTGAATAATTATCGCCTTGGATTTGATGAATGTGCCCAGGAAGTGACTCGCTATTTATCCCAGATGGAAATAAACGATGTGAATCTACGATCCAAGATTTTAGATCATTTAGCAAGTTGTGTTTCTAGTGGAATATTCAACCCGTCTCCCCCTTCCACACCTGTATCCTCTACCACACCCACTCCACCATCTCAGACTTGTGGTTCATCACCACAACTACAGATGCCAGCTCAAATATCACCATCGCCATCAATGGTTTACAACCCGATTCAACAAGAACAGCTTCCGCCACATTCTCAGGTTTTGCAGACTATTCCTTCGCTTCCCGGACTTCCTACTCCTCCAGCTCCCCCAGCTCCAGGACAAGGACAAGCTGTTCAAATGACAAACATCGTCAGTGCTGTGCAAGTGATTCCTACAAAACTTCAATCAGGAGAAATAGCATTCGTTATGCCTGGTAATGTTTTAAATAGCCAGGCACCTAGCTATATTATCCCTGTTTATCCTTCTGCGTCAGCTACTAGTTGTTCACCACTAGCACAGACTGTTTATACTGCACCAGTGTCTGTTCCCAACGTGATATCATCCTTACCTATTGTTCCAACACCCCAACATGTTATTTCCCCGCGACCATCTCAGCATGTGCCATCAGCCACAGTATCATCGGAACACCAGTTCGCAACTGTTTCTTCCGGATTAGGAATAACAACCCAGTCAGTTACACCGTATCATCCAAACATATCTCTCTTCTCACCCCACCACCCAGCAGCACCACAGGCTTCACATACTCGGCCAGCACCTTTAATTCCTTTGGAACCAAGACCACTGTTCTCATTACGTCATGATCGGGACGAAAACGACGGACATGTCCGCCAAGATAGGGAACTACCTTGTGATGAGAATATGTGGCGACCCTGGTGAGACAAACAGACTGGGTTCGGATTATATTTATTAAGTATGAAATTGACTGTTCAGTTGAAAGGAATTTTGTTGGATATTTATTTGGAGTTACTATAAATCCGTGTAGCAGACAATAGTGGATAACTTCATAACAAAGAACAGATAAAACAAATTATGCCCGATATAGGAAGCTGGGAGAATGCTATATATGGGGATAAGATCTTTAGGATTTTTGTTTACAGTGTTGCTTAAAATCGTTTCAAAAGCAACGCTTCATCAGAGGTGGAACATATCCTTCTTCTAATTCTTATCTGCGACATCACATATTGTGGAAGCTGACGTTAAACGCGATTGTATAATGTGAATGGTTAAAAGACTAATACCTACAAGCCAATTACAGGATTGTGTAGTGTTTGTTATTTGTAACAAATGAACAACAATTGCTACCGACAACTTTATGTTCGTATCAATAAACAGTATAAACCGTTCTAGGTTTTGCTTAATATTTTATTTATAACATTCCATGGAACTTTTGTTTTCGTGTATCGATAACGTCTTCCATATTTCTAAACGAAAATAACATATATAATGATATAAACAAACATTCCTTATTTTCGCCATAATGTGATTTTGAAAATTAACAATATTAATCACTCCTTCAGTTTTCATGCAAAATTTGTTTTCATACCGTGACGCTAGATGTTCGCGAAGGACTAAACATAAACTGTCGGCATAATATGTTCAAGAATGAGCACGCTTCCATTGTCTACCTTAAGACTGTCAACATTATTTATATGTTCCAGAATGAGCACGCTTCCATTGTCTACCTTAAGACTGTCAACATTATTTATATGTTCCAGAATGAGCACGCTTCCATTGTCTATCTTGAGATTATCAAAATGAGCGAGAATAAACGGTCTATCTTAAGATTGTCAATATTAGATATTGCAGAATGAGCAAGTGTGTACGTTCTATCTTAAGACTGTTAACATTCGATGCTCAAGAATGAGCAAGCATGGATTGCCATGAATATCAACAGTATTTATATTATGAGTATTGCGTCGTGCGGAAATTAGAATATATTGTTCAATAATTGATATTTTTTTACCTGCTTATGAAAGGAACAAATATTGAAGATTATCTGTTTTAAAATTATTATAAATGTACTTTTTGTACATTGTTATTTTCAACCAACGAACAAACATAATCAGTATATTGAATATAGCCAATTGACAGCTGGTTTTACTATTCGAATATTGTAGGTCTATATTGAAATATAATTCGAATTATCGTTTCATTTCAAATGATAAATATTTTGACCACTTCTTTTCTTTTATTAGCGGTATTGGTTTTTTTTCAGAAATCAATCTATTTTCTTTTTTATGAATAATAGTGGATTACAATGAATTAATATTATTAAATTTTAAACGAACTGGTCAGTTTTTTTTATTAGTTTTACAAAATATCCAATGATAAATAGCACAAAATCAGTTGCTAGAATTCTAAAAGTATGTCCGCACAACTGGCTGGTATAGAAAATATTTCAGACTATTCTTTATCAAATACCTACGTGGACACAGTAGAAAACTAATGTAAACCTATAATTCAATGACCATCCCGTAACTAAACTATTATTTTTTACCCTATTTTTAAGCTGACAAGCTGCTCATTTAAGAAAGTAAAACATAAGTTCTTATCTTGTCGATTTTGAATCTTGCAATGTTTTTGGTTATATTACTATTGTGTGTAAATATGTGATACAAAATAAACAGGGACTTAAATTTGAAAGTGCTATAAATAAATAAATCTTATTTTATATATATATATATACATATTTCTTCCTATTTTTTCACTGTTTGTTATTCATTATTACTATTTAAAATTTATAATATAATAAAATACAATTATAACGATATATTGATGTTTATATTTTATGAAAATCATACCCTTAAGATAATAGGTCACAATTCTATACATGTGTGAAATAGCTTTATTTAACGTCCGCTTCAACCGAAGTGATATCGCAGACAAGTAATTCTATTCATGCTTCTCCTGTCTTTATTAGGCCAGTCGTTTAACCCCATTTCATATCATTTCTTTATTGTCCCAGTCGGAGGCGAACAGTAGTAGGACGTTAAACCCCATTTCATTTCATCTATATCAAGCAATGATGAAGTACTTAATGTGATGTGACAATATATACATGTAAAACAATACTTGATTAATGATGACCAATTATAGACATTCCAGTTTTTATACTGGATTACATTGAAACATTTACCCTGAGGGACAGATTCTGTGGCATCATCTATACCATGTGCCTATGAATTTTAGTTAATATTTCGTTCAGCAAGCATACTAATTTAGAGACACGATTTAATGGCTAAGTCGTGATTCACAAAATCGCCGACACGTGTTGAGTTTAACATCTTCGCACTGCGCATAGCATATTACTGCCCATGGCCTAGAACATCTAATATCATCTGGTGTACCAAAGTAAGTCTATATGGCCCACAGTTGTACTAAAGTAAGTATATTTAGTTCTGGTCCCACGTGGTACTAAGATAAGTTCTTATACTGGATTACATTGAAACATTTACCCTGAGGGACAGATTCTGTGGCATCATCTATACCATGTGCCTATAAATTTTAGTTAATATTTCGTTCAGCAAGCATACTAATTTAGAGACACGATTTAATGGCTAAGTCGTGATTCACAAAATCGCCGACACGTGTTGAGTTTAACATCTTCGCACTGCGCATAGAATATTACTGCCCATGGCCTAGAACATCTAATATCATCTGGTGTACCAAAGTAAGTCTATATGGCCCACAGTTGTACTAAAGTAAGTATATTTAGTTCTGGTCCCACGTGGTACTAAGATAAGTCTATTTAGCTATGGCCCACCGTGTTACTAAAGTAAGTATATTTAGGTATGGCCCACGTGGTACTAAGATAAGTCTATTTAGCTATTACCCACCGTGTTACTAAAGTAAGTATATTTAGGTATGGCCCACGTGGTACTAAGATAAGTCTATTTAGCTATGTTCCACCGTGGTACTAAGATAAGTCTATTTAGCTATTACCCACCGTGTTACTAAAGTAAGTATATTTAGGTATGGCCCACGTGGTACTAAGATAAGTCTATTTAGCTATGTTCCACCGTGGTACTAAGATAAGTCTATTTAGCTATGTTCCACCGTGGTACTAAGATAAGTCTATTTAGCTATGTTCCACCGTGGTACTAAGATAAGTCTATTTAACAACTATATTATTTAGATATGATCCACTTTGTAATAGTGTAGCACAAGAATCGACTTTTGACAGCCAGCGCATCTGAAAGATCTATCCAACGATCGCCCACCATAACGACAGACGTGGTCGCCACTAGATTTATCCATGTTGATTTAGTGTAAGTTATATTATTATTTTACGCTGTGAACCACAAAAATGGCCATCAAAACACAATACACGCCACATTTTAACATTTCTACCTTTGTAGGATAGAAGCTGAAAAGCTAGTTTTTATTAACCTGTTGCGTCTTCGATTACTTACAACATTTCTTATGTCAACATTGTTCTTAGTTTATCTACAAAATATCTACTGACTTAACGATTATAAAGCATAGTTTACTCTCAAAACTTAAAAAACAACTTCATACGCTATGAATTTTATCAGTCTTTTACTAAAACCAACAGACCATGAAACGAATCAATTGCATTGTTGACCCCCTTTAACCCTAATTAACATTCGATCAAATTTGAGATTACATAAACCTTTGAATTGTTAGCAGTCTGATTTTTTTTTTTAATTCTAGAAATGATAAACCTAAAAAGAATCAGAAAGAGTTACAAAATGTTTTAGTTGTGGGATCTTCTTACTGTGGTCGTGTATTGAAAATGAGCACTGAATAGAGAGTTAAGTTTGACTTCAAACGGTCGCGCGATTATTTTGTGCGGTCGCTAATTACAGTGTAATCTTTAAGTGGCATTTAGCGATTTGGCAATACATTAAAGGAGATCATCGCTAATATTTGGGATCTAGAAATTGACACAAAAGGGTTGCACGCATATAATAATGTAATAGGAATGCATATAAACGGATTTACATTCAATCGTTTCCGTATGCTCTCCAGATAAGAATACGGCGTCACCGTTTAACATGACTTGTGGAATATGTCTAGCCTTGTTCTTCGAGTCCTTTGTTACAAATGGCACTGAAACGCATTATGGTACACGATTCGTGTACCAATGGTAAAATATTTATTTTGTCTTAAATATTGGATATCAGAAGATCATCTTTTCCCGGTAAGATCGGAACATCAACGTTGATTTAAACTGACGAATAATTTTTGTTTTCAATGTTGAAGATTGTGGATGATTTTGAGATAAAGACTTAGTTACTTTAAACAGAACACACTTTTTATGGGTAACAATCACTATTTTTATTTTAATAGCACGACGTTTCGACAAGTATCCTTATTAAGCACAATTGCATCGTTCCTGGAGTCTTACGTGCACTTCCACCAAGGGTGATATCGTAAACAAGATATTTAGTAAACTTGACAAACTGGTCAAAACACAGATCCTATTTCGTTTCGTTTTTATACTTAAAAATTTCGTTTTACTTGTCTTTACTACACTTGGATCTGGAAGAGTTGTTATTTAACTCGTGTTCTGAATGGTGTCAGGGATAAGCCAATGAAACGGTCTGTTACGGCGAGCTTTAGGCGTGTTTTTCACGGAACTGTGGGTAATCCACTAGTAACATCAATGCTGATTGGTTAATCAAATCTCTGACAACATAGGGTCATAAGTCGGTCTTTTTACCCCTGACGTGACCTATCGCTATAACTTGCCAGATCTTCATATAGTGTAGGCCATCGAAAGTATAAAAAAACGAAACGAAATATAGATCTGTATTTAAATCAAATTGTAAACTTGAGGTCAATATAAGATATGCATGATGAAGCCCATTTATAGAAATTAAAGGGCTGTATTCTTTGGAACCTTAAAATAGCCACATATTAAAGATGGGTTCCCAGAAAAGTATTTATCGGGTGGTTATTTCCAATAAGAGAATGGCAATTTTGGTATATATGGAAATTAGAGATACCCAATCTTACTAGAAAAATACTAGATTCACTGAAAAACACTCATGGAGCGTATGCAGGACAAAAATGTAAGGGTTCCCCTAATCGACAGCCCGACGATTAGGAATATCTGCACGCGTGACGTCAAAGGTTGCAAGCGGAGATTGAAAACTTTATGTACATGTTGATAAACTTTATGAAGAGTTAGACGTACAACACTTTCTAAGATAAAAATCACGGAAAAGACGCGGGCAGTGGATAATCCGAGATTTAATTAGGATTCGATATTTGTAATAAAAAGTCAACGATTGAAGACAACATCGTTTTGTGTATGCAATGAATTCTCCTCCGACTTCGAACCCGTAAGTGACGTGACACAAACATGACCTCTTTTGATCGATTTTTTATAGCAAGGGTATGCCTTGACAATTAGAATGTTTTGAGAAGGATTTTAAACAAATTTATGATAAATGAATTAGTGTGAATATGTTTTTAGGCCAAATATATCATCAAATCAACCTGTTTGTACTCGGGAATGTACCTTTAATGTAATTTGAATTATATAAAGTGATTTACATTCAATGTTTAAAAAGAGCACTGTAATTTTTAATCGATTATGTTCGTTTAATTACATGAACTGTCCAAATTGAACGAAGACCATTTACACCTGATCAGACCATTCTACACGTTTTTTTTATTATTATTATTTTGCTTTTTGTGAATCTGACATAACTAATTACTTGTGCATTGTCTTGTAGTATATGTTTTGCTTTGTTCTTTACAAATGGCGGCAAATTAACATAGAATACACGAATCGTGTACTGATTTCAAAATTTTCATTGTGTGTTAAATATTGGATATTAGGATATTAGAGTTTAACGTCCTACTGTTCTGCTCCTATTGGGCTAATGAAGACTGGCATATGCCATACAGTGTGCCATGAAGGGAAGCTTTGTCCGGACAGCGGCGCTATGGCCTACTCTTATATCGAATTCCAACTGTCAAGGGTTCTTTTACGTGTACACCAATGTGTATACGGGACCTCGGTTTTTCGTCCCATCCGAACGACTATACTTTGCCCCTTGCCAGGCTCTCCGTCCTACATCACTTACAAGGGAAACCACGCCGGAAAATAAATAAATAATAGTAACAGCAATGTGGATATGTTTTAATAATAAAGACATGTTTATAATACCTGAAGGGATGGTCTGTTTTCGTGTTTTAGTTGTTTCATTGATCTACTAATTAGCTGGTGGTGGAGGGTAATAATTCAAGTTACAAAACACGTGGCATAGATATTCCAATTCTTGGTTCACAAATGTTTATGACTCTACGTGCTCTTTTGATATAGAGGGGATGACTGGCGTTGCGATTAATATATTGGTCTGTGTGGGTTGGTTTTCGATATCTGTCTTTCATTTGATTGTGTACTTTCACAACTTGAACATCTAAAAATTGTAGAGTTTCGCCTTCCTCGGTCTCAATGGTAAATTTAATTCTGGAATGGTGTCTATTTAGGAAGTCTAATAGGGACGTATCGAGCGATTAATCGGGACTATTTACAAGAACTGTGCTTATTATATTGTTGTATAAGATATTTAGCCAATTCAGAATGTAGTTGGAAAAATTAAGCTTTTTAAGCGACTTTAATACCGTGTTTTAAAGTGACTTTTTGATATACAAGAACTTGTTTTTTCCCATTTTCCTTTTTATATTACGTCTTTATGTATGTAAATAACTTGA